GAGCGGTAATTAGCAACATCCCTGAGTAGACGAATGTAGGCGGTGTATTCGGAGATATGGTTAGGGCAGTGGGATTCGCAAGGAGAGCACTTGATAGCGAGAGTGGGGTAAACGTGAGCGAGGGGTTGTGGTCGGCGTAGATGCAGATATTTTCTGCCTCCAACATATTTACAGAAGAATCTGCTCAGCTGATAGCGTTGAGAAAGAGCTTAAAATCATCGAAAGCCTTTTTCGCCAGAACGGGTATCCTGATCGATTCTTTGCGAAGAACATGGCCGAAAGATCACAAAACCCCCGATACTGACGGCAGGACAGAAAAGGCTCTTCATCAGGGTCCCGTTTCAAGGGGATGCACCAAGTGAACTTTTAAGAAGACGCCTAACTCAAGCTGTATCACAGACCTTTCCAGCAGCTGTCACCCGTGTACTGTTCTCCACCAGTCCCATCCTATACGGAGAGGGCAAAGAAAAACTAACAGCTCAGACCACCTCTATGTTTATTTACTCCTTCACCTGCTCCTGTGGGGCAGAATATATTGGTCGCACGAGCCGGGGTTTATCCAAAAGAATAAAATAACATCTTTCAGCATGGTTAGGAAGGGGTCAAAAAAAAAACATCAACAGTTCGATCCTCGCTCACATGGTAGACACAGACCACCGTGTAGACGCCAGAGAGGCCTTCAGAGTGATTTACAGGGTCCCATCAGGCTATCCAGAACTACTTGAACAGCGCTTGTTGTCTACGGCAGAGGCGGCTGCAATCAGGCTACGCGGACCGGTCCTATGAGCACAGAAGAACTTCATACAGGTCCCACAGTTCCCATTAGTCAAGGCCACCAAGCCAGCCACCCGCATGTAATTACCTTCGCCGGGACCCACCTTCTCCCTGGCGCTGACTGGAATTGTGGTGTTTCACTCTCCCCCTCTCCTCCCCTCCCCTCAGCTCCGCAAACCCGAGCTATAGCTTAATTATCTACTTGCCCTTATCTTTTAATTCATTGCCTCAATAGCCATACAAATGTACAGGCCTGAAGAGAATTTGTCGAAAGCATGCGCATGCTTGCTAAATTGCCTTTTGAATTTTACAATGGGAATTTTGTAAAATAGTTACAGAAACATTTGGTGTCCAAGGAAATACCAAAGCATCCTCGATCAGAAGTGTTGTAGCACGTTTGTGCGCCCGGGGGTTCCCTGCCCAGCGTGCGGCCGTCATTGAAGATCTAAGGCGATAACGAAACCAGAGGCGTCAGCAACAACAAAATGCCCGGTCATTCCGACCTGAAGTTGAGCATGGCCCACTGAGGACGACTGATGTGTCAGAAACGGCTCTCCCGGACCCCCTTGTTTTTTGTCAGAATTCTTCCCCTCTGGCCGCTACTCGACTGCAGCAGTGAGGGCCCTAGATTGAGCCCTAAGGCGCAGTGGGAGAAACTCAAAAAGGATATACGATATATTGGCCATTGCTGGCGACGAACTCCCCACCTACCTATAAAAGTGACCTACGCATGTGAAATGACCGAGCTTATGAAAGGTTGGTCGAAATTGTGAAATGCGTTTTCGATTAGGAAGGATTACTTAGGTGAGGTTTTAATAATGAAGAGTATGCATCATAAGCCTATAGCATTTCGGACGCAATAGGATGTCGGCTTTTGGATGTACTCTTTTTTGACCTCCAGCAGAAACCGCACTTTGTAAAGAATGACCACTTAAGTAGCATGCATGTTTTCTATTGATTCTCGATGGTCTTGTAAATTCAAATATATTTTGTAGGAAACATGCATAAAAATATGCTTTCTTTTGTTCATTTGGTAGAAAATCACATTGTCTTGATAGTTGCTACCTGAAGAAAGTGTATATTTGGGTTTTAAAAGTTTTTAATCATGAGGTTTTTAAGACTTTGCGATGTCCATGCATACAGGACCGCACATGTCCGTTAACCAATGCTCCTAATGAAATGCACAACACAGTCTGGATCCATTGCGAAATTTTAGGAAATTTATGTGGAACCTTCTTAAAGGCATAGAGGAATATATGATTTTCCTTACGCGGAAAGCGTGCACCTTGTAGACTGAAATTGCCAAACGCTAATGCAGATCAGGCTCACAATTATTCGGGAATTGGAAAACTTTTTAAAACCAAAATATACACTTTCTTAGGGTATAAAACATCAAGACAATGTGATTTTCTATCAAACGAGTGAAAGAAAGCATAATTTTTGTGCATGTTTTCTATAACGTATATTTGAATTTACAAGACCATCGAAAATCAGTGGGAAAAATGCATGCTACTTAAGTAGTCATTTTCTACAAAGTGCAGTTTCTGTGGGGAGATCGAATAGAAGAGCATTCAAAAGCCAACACCCTAGCGAGTTCGAAATACTATAGGATTATGCTGCAGGCTTATCAATATTACAAGCCCACCTAAGTAATCCGTCCTAGTCAAAAACGCATTTCAGAATTTCGGCCAAGACTTCATGAGATCGGTCACGCACTCTAGTTAGGCAGACTTTCGATGCATCTAGCTCACACTCACCCGAACTCCGATGGCACTGGGGGGGTTGGGACGACCAGCAGCGGGTGTGTTCGCTGCGGCTGTGAAATTCAAACGCTCGGCGGTCCGTAACTGCGCGCGGGCTTCCTGCTTTTGTGGAAGCAGGTTGTGTCCTCTGTAAAAATGTCATAAAGGCTACCTTAAGAAGGAGCAATTGCAGCCTGATCCCCAATCCATCCAGCCAAGACTCTGAAAGGTTAGATCGCGTCAAAATACGATGTTTTGCCATGGGGGTTTCCTGTCGCATACATCGACCGACCCCTAGCATGTAAACCAATTAATGATAATACGGGGCGCAGTTGCTTACACGACATGAAAGCCTCCTTTCGTGTCGTGTTACAGATATGCACGACGGTGTCAAACCGATAACGGAAATGGGGATATGCAGCAGAAGGCTAGCGCAATCGTAGGGAACACCAACACCAGCGGAAATCTCGACCTCACACTACTGTTAGCATCGGTAGGACGAATCGCTCCAGAAGGCAATTGCGCACGCCTGGATTCCAATAGGACAACGCCTGCCGTAGGCGAAATACAAACGCCTACGCACTATCGATCGATAACGTGAGATAAATGGGCTTCCGCAAGGTAAATGCCACCAATCAGAGCGAGCCAGGTTAGAAGCGCGCGATCAAACATGAATCGACAGGTGGGGCATGCGCAGATATAAGTGGGGAGCTGGCAGCTCCGGAGGTGTGTACGCATTTCGGAAACGAGATAAGAATGTTAGGATTTGTGAAGTCGGGTATACCTACGCTTTTACATACACATACAGTCGGTGTGCTGACTCATGAAATGCTAACCGAAATTCCGAAATGCGTTTTCGTTTCGAAAAGATTACTTAAGAAGGATTTCAAAATTAATCATCCTGCAGCATGATTCCGTAATACGTCGATTACCTCGGAGTGCCGGCTTTCGAACGAATTTCTATTCGGCTGCATGAAAAAACCACTCCCTGTAAAAAAATGATTGCTTAAGTAGCACGAATTTTCTCATGGATTTCTGATGCTCTTAAGAAATCTAATTATATTTGATGGAGAACATGCATAAAAATATTCATTCTTTCACTGATTCGATGGAAAATTACGTCTTCTGTCCATTTTATACTCTAAGGAGGAGTATAATCATGTTACCAAAAGTTTCTAATTACTAGAATGGTTAATACCGTGAAATGCCCGTTCATAAAACATCGTGTCTCTGCATTTAGTAATGTTGCTTGTAAAGTTTACAATATGGTTCAAAGCCATTGCTAAATTTTAAGAACCCCTATGATCTCCTCTTAATAACCTAGAGAAATTTATGGTATTCCGCATGCGGAAAACATACGGCCTATAGTTGGAAAACTGAATACATTTGTAACGGCAGGTCGAGTTCAAAGTTATTGGGGAATTGAAAAGTTGTTTAAGTCGAATTATACCCTTCATTAGGACACAAAATTGGAAGAAGACGTAATTTTTCACCGACTGAGTAGAAGAATGGATATCTTTATGCATGTTTTCCATCAAATATAATTGAATTTTTAAGGGCATCGAAAATCAATGAGAAATATGCATGCCACATAAGTAGCCATTTTTAAAAATGTGTGAGTTTTGCATGTGACCGGATAGATGTTCATTCAAAAGCCGGCATTTTGATGTAATTGAATTATTATAGATTTATGATGTAGAATGATTAATTTTAAAACTCCTCTTAAGTAATCTTTTCGAAACGAAAACGCATTTTAGAATTTCCTTTCACATTTCATGAATCAGCATACCTACTGTATATACGCGCAAATATGCCCTTGGGATTGGAGTATTTCCGCCTGAGACTGCGAGGCGAATATGTCGATATATATATAGGTGGTGAAAGTACGCTCACTGATCCGACTACGAGACGTGTTCGTCCCATTGTTCAGTCTGTCCTCTTTTCAGGTGGTCGCACAACAACCGTCTGGGGAGACATATTCGTAAGTGATTAAAGCAGGCAAATGCCTGGTGTGAAGGTACGGTCTTACTGGTTAGAGGTTTGAATTGAGTCAACATTGTTTGTAGTGCTGTAGATGGGGAGGTGGGTGAAGGGATGCGACGTTTCCGGTGTCGGTGGTGGCGAGACGGGCTGGCTATTGTGACGGTGAATCTGGAGACACTGCACCAGTCCGGTGCGTGCTCTGACAGTCACTTGGCAGTGCTGACACGTTGGCAGATACTGGGTGTTTACAATATTGATCTGTGGTTAGAAGAAGAAAATTGGCTCTCCGGAACAGGTTTATTTAACTGCTGACGTTTCAAAGAGCTGGGTCGGCTCTTCATTGTCAAAGCGTAAACTGCACCTAATCGATCAGAAAGTTAACTTAAAGTGGCAATCTGTGTTCGCCGGCCTCATGCTGATCGATTTTTCTCTCTCCTCACGCTGCGTCGGCCTCTCAGGAAATGGTTGACGGGCGTTTTTGCCTGTGCGCTTTATGAGACTTTAGTCGGGCGGTCGGTCTGGAGGTTCTTGTTCTTCCTCACCGAGTAAGTTCAACGTCGGGCTATCTCCGTGCTGTCTTCTTAAGTCCGGTGTGGTTGTTTGGTCCTGAGCTCTACGGTTGTGATGACGTAGGACTTTGTAAGCTGCAGGAAGGTCCAGATGCCTGTTGATAGAGTGGGCATCGGAGAACCACGCCTCGAGAGTTAGCCGTTCTGTTTTTGTGTTGCCTCGGCCTAAGATGGTAGCCCTCTGGAGGTCAAAAGTATGCCCCGTTTCCCCAACGTGTGTTGCTAGTTGAGAGTTAGGGTCTAACCTCCGAGTGGCCGATTTGTGTTCTTGTAGGCGAGTTTGCAATTTCCGCCCAGTTTCGCCCACATAGTTGCAGTCGCCCTCATTGCAATTTATTTTGTAGATGACTGCTGAGGTTTCAGCGGGTGGCAATGGGTCTTTAGGTTGCATTAGGCGACGTCGAATTGTTGCTTGTGGTCGATGGGCTATGCCTACTCTGGTGGGTTGTAACAGTCGCGAGACCGCTTCAGAGACCCCTTTAACGTAAGGAATGGCCCTCCAGACTTCGGGTTGCTGCTCATTTGGCCGTTGTCTGGGCGCCCAACGCCTGCTTCTCTCGATGAAATGCCTGGGATAACCATTGGCTGCAAATAGGTCCACAAGGTACAATCGTTCGGCCCTTTTATCTTCTGGTGTGCTGCAGTGTGTTTCGACTCTTTGGAATAGAGTGCGGACACAACTACGTTTGTGAGACAGTGGATGATTGCTGTTGAAGTGTAGGATCTGTCTCGTGTCGGTGGATTTTCGGAATACTGTAGTTTGCAGCTGTCCAGTGGTACACCGGCGCACAAGTACGTCAAGGAAGGGCAGTTGGTTGTTTGTTTCCGCTTCCATCGTAAATTTTATATCCGGGTCAACCGAGTTCAGTAGTCCCTTTAGGTGTTCTATGTCAGTTGTTTTGACAACGACGAAGGTGTCATCGACATAGCGGGCCCAGAAATTTGGTTGATATTTGGTGAACACCAAGTGTTCTACCCGTTGAAGGACTACTTCAGCAATTAGGCCTGATATAGGGGAGCCCATAGGAGTGCCCTTTATTTGTTCGTACATTTGTCCGTCGAAAGTGAAATAGGTCTTGAGACAATATCGCAGAAGCTCGAGCAGATGCTCAGACTTCAGAGGTCTATCTCTCTCCTCATAACGCTCTGCCAGTAGTTGGTCCACAACATCTATCGCTAGTTGCTGTGGGATGGAGGTGAAGAGCGAAACGACATCAAAGGATACCATGGACTCGTCTGGCTCTAACCTCAGATGTTTTATGCGTTCGAGGAATTGATACGCAGATGCAACTGTTGTTGGTGAGCCTTCGGCCAAAAACTTAAGACGACCGAACATCCATTTTGCCAAACCGTACGTCGGTGTGCCACGAAGGGATACGATTGGCCTGAGTGGGACATTTGCCTTGTGTACCTTCGGTAGACCGTAAAAACGAGCCGTGGCGGTGTCCGTGGGTTTCATGGAGAACCAGTCGTTGGGTGTAATCGCCCCCTTGGCTTTGAGATTCCTTAGGCTTTTGTTTATCCGGGTGATTAGATTTTTCATTTCGCTGGCATGGCATTGTTTGTATGAATGCTGGTCTTCGAGTAAGTTCTGTACCTTGTTCTGGTAATCCGATTTGTCTAGCACAACTGTTGAACGTCCTTTGTCAGCTGGTAGAATAATTATGTCCTTGTTTGCTTTTAGGCTTTTCAGTGCCCGCAGTTCCATATTGCTAAGAGTTTCGCACCTTCTGTGTCGCATGAGCAACGAGGAGGTTTGGTGACGTATCAAATCTTTCGTCTCTTCTGACGCCTTTGTTAGTTGAAGAGCAGATTCGAAGGCGGCAACAAACTCTGTTGGTGTGGCATCTGCTGTGTTAAAAGTTGCTCCACGTTCCAGGATTGCGAGTTGTGTGTTTGTAAGGGTTTTGGATGAAAGATTGTGAACAAGGACGCCTGATGAGTTGTCGGGGCTTGGTACTCGAAGTTTCTCCAATTTTATAGATAACTCCTTGTTTCTTTTGGCACGTACTTTCTGAGCATGTCTGATGATTGTCTGTTCTATATTGTTTGATTCTTCACCGACAGTTCTCCAGAGAAAACACTTAGATTGGTCCATCTCTACATTGTAGCGTTTTAGTCTTTGATGGCAATCGTGAATTAGCACTCTTGTCATTCTTCTGCCAAGTCAGATCACAGTCTCCCTTGCCAGAGCAGGATTCACAGGAGGCTTGTAAGTGACGCTCTTTGGGGTCAACTGGTTGTCAAGGCAGCGGTGGAGGAAGTGCATACGGGGCATACTTTTGACCTCCAGAGGGCTACCATCTTAGGCCGAGGCAACACAAAAACAGAACGGCTAACTCTCGAGGCGTGGTTCTCCGATGCCCACTCTATCAACAGGCATCTGGACCTTCCTGCAGCTTACAAAGTCCTACGTCATCACAACCGTAGAGCTCAGGACCAAACAACCACACCGGACTTAAGAAGACAGCACGGAGATAGCCCGACGTTGAGCTTACTCGGTGAGGAAGAACAAGAACCTCCAGACCGACCGCCCGACTAAAGTCTAATCAGCTCCCCTCGACGGAGTGGTGACTCATAAAGCGCACAGGCAAAAACGCCCGTCAACCATTTCCTGAGAGGCCGACGCAGCGTGAGGAGAGAGAAAAATCGATCAGCATGAGGCCGGCGAACACAGATTGCCACTTTAAGTTAACTTTCTGATCGATTAGGTGCAGTTTACGCTTTGACAATGAAGAGCCGACCCAGCTCTTTGAAACGTCAGCAGTTAATTAAACCTGTTCCGGAGAGCCAATTTTCTTCTTCTAATAATCTTCCCGGATCTCTAAACTTTTCCAATCTGATCTGTGGTTTTCAGAGCTTGGGTGACACCCAATTCGCCTCGGTCTCTTCTATGCGATAGGCGTAGCAGCGCATCACGCCTACCGATTCCAGTCGAGTCCTTCTCAGATCGCAGGCTATGCAACGATGAGGTTGGCTAAGGAAGATTCATTCGTGCTGCGAAGCAAAAATAACCTAACGACAAGGAGAAATCCCGCGGTTTGTAGTCAGACCCTCAGTAAAAGTGATGCTTATATATTTGCGGGTCGCCAAGCGCGCCTGGCCGTGAACCAGATGGGGAGGGATTGAGAAATCTGTTCTGACTAGCCTTTTTGCAGTAGCATCTATCACTGACGTCGATCAGGAACCAGATGTTTGTGTACAGAAGAGCTGAAAGTCCGAACATTTTGACAACGTAGGCATACATTTGGCGAACGAAATGTAATTTTCAAGCAGACTTTCATGCAAAAAGTGTGCTCGAGTGAAGTCGGGAGATACGAAACACATAAAAACACACCCGATCTGGTTGAGGATCTTTTCAACCGAGTGCGTAAAGAAAACTCTTAAAGAATCATTTCCGGAGATTTTGACGATTGAAAAAGTCTATCGAAACTTGTGCAGCTTGAAAGACAGAGCGCATTTATAAGGTTTCCAATCTGCATGTTATGTAGTCTCTGGGAGTAAGATTCTATTTCTGGCTTATCGAATATTTTATTCGCACGCGATCGGTTTCTCATACCGCACTGATAAACCTACAGAGGACCACACGGATACGGCGAGAATGTGGGTACCAAGAAACAGCAGTGATCGGTGTAACAGGAGTTATGCTTCCTTTTGCGTTCCGGCCTCATCCTCGAACTCATAATCAGAAAAGGAAACAGAACAAGGGCGGGGAACGCACAGAGGATGTTATATCTACGGAGACATGCTCGCTAACCGTAGCAGCTCCTGCGTTTACTGCGGATGTTCCTACTATGTGCAATGATGACCCGGTCTCCCATCTTCGACACTCTAATGGCCGCGATTTCATCCCTGGTCCTGGTGATTGGCGTGATAATTATTCAGTCAGATGATTCATCGAGATTGTTAACGAAAGCACTGTTTGCCCACGCGCTCTGCGCCTGACAAGTCACTCTGTCCACGCGAAGACTGAGCGTTTATCGCTACTCGGGGGTGGAGTGAGCGGAAGGGCTACAAAACCAATTATACCTCACGCCAGTTGCCAAACTGGCCGTGAGGACCCGGCCATTAATGATCCGAGGGTGATCGCTCAAGTAATTACCGTGCCAATTACAAACTTCCGCGATAAAGACCCTGCAATCGGCGACCCCAACCTGACCAGTGAATCGACAGACACGCGGTGGCATAGCAACCACGGTGCCCGCTGGGCTAACTTACCGCCCGAGAGTGCTGTCATGATACCGTGGCCCAGAGCGGCTCAACTAACAGTACATGCAGTGATATCTACCCTCTAATCTGTGATTGACCATCGCATGAAACGGTCACTCACGGAGATAAGGCAGTCGCACTTTGATGAAAGGTATATGAGGACGTTAAAAAACGTCATTGTATTGTGCCCTCCAACCTTGGCCTTTCGACAGATGTAATAGTACCCTAGATGCTGTTGCTCTTGTAGTCCACTCTGGCCTACGAGAATCAGATAATGATTGCCGCGAGTACGCATGTGCTTTTTTTGGCTACTCATCCACCTTCAATACCGTCCCACGTCCTCTTCTCCTTGCCAAAACATCCGCAATGGCGGCTGTCCAGGCTGGGTTGTCCCTTGGCTCGGTGATTACTTTACTACCCGCATTCACTTTGTCCAATGCGGCAAACGGAAATCTACGATCCTTCCCAAATAATGTGAGGTTCTTCAACGTTCCATTTTATCCCCTCACCACTTCTCTCTCCAAACTGATGATCTAAGATCCCCAAACGACCGTCTATTGGTTAAGTATGCTGACGATGTCGTCGTTGGCCACCCTCTCAGAAATCAGACGTATCTCCAGTCTCTGAAGGATGGCCTTGGCCATGCTTCAGTATGGTCGCAGGAAAATGGCCTCCTACTGAACAGTCAAAAATCCGTTCAGTGTATTTTTCGAGTGCGGTCCTCACATAGTCCTGAATCCTTTGACATAATTCCTAACGGGGTATCCTCTTTCCTGTACCTTAGTGTAACTTTGTTATCAAATCTTTCATTTTCTCTTCATATTGAGCCCCTTTTCACTAAAGTTCGTAAACTTCTTTATTACATTCATCGTTTACGTTTTTACCATACACCTCAACCCTTAATCTGGCCACTCACAGATGCCTGTATTCTTCCTCTTATTTTTTATTGTTTTCCTGGCATTTTTCGTGTTTTGTTCGAAGTAGACCCGCTAATTTTAAAACTAGTCCTCCGAGAGCTCTCTTCTGCTGCCGGTTATTCTTATGTCTTTTTAGTCGATATTAGCCTACAGCTACATTTCAAAGCGGCCAAGCAATTTTCTGGATGACGTTACCCACCCCCTACATTCTAAACTAAGCTCTGCGAAGTCTTCGCGCCCATGCGCCCTGGCTTTCGTCTTATCTCTTGTCGCACATCGGTATGCCAACATTCTCTACTGCCATTTCCGGCGCGCCATTTTACGTGTGAAAAGACAGAAATACAGAATGTAAGACTCGAATTGTCCGCACAATAATTATTCCTTCGTGTTAAAGTTTTTGAGTCCTTAGTAACCTATTAACTTATTTTCTGCCCACAGTGGACGAAGCCCATTTTTCGCTGAAAATTTTGAATTTATACATAACTCCAACATAAGGCGAATTCCTCTCTCTCTCTCTCTCTCTCTCTCTCTCAAAAAACGTCATTTTTGCAAAGAAAGTCGCCAGTAATTTTGTACCGTCCAACCGTGGTCTTTCAACAGGCCAGATGTGAACGAATCCACTAGTGCAGATCAGAGCTCAAGCCGAATCTGAGGGGGAGATAGCAGGAGAGGATCTGGTTGCATTGGGTGCTGAGAGAGAAAATTTCCCTTTATTTTGGAATCCCAAATTCAAATTTTCAGGAAAAATGTGACAGATTGTTCAGGAAGGTGAATGCGCCTTGGCGCATCTAGTCTTACACTGTGGGACGTAGCGGTGTTCAGCCGTACCAGATGGAGCATGCGTAGCGGGCGGTTGCTGAACGGAGTATTCCGATTGGCGATTGGTCGACCTGCTGGCTCCACGACGATTGGACAAGCCTCGCTGATTAACAGTAGGAAAAAACGCATCAGATAGGCCCAGGAAATGTAGGACATGCAAGTCTTTAGACATTTTAAAACCTGTAACTCGTCCTAGGCTTCTAACAGTTTAATGCTAGGAAAATTACAACTCCTTCCAGGTCTCCGAAAACTGTTTGCCATGAGTTGCGCATTTTCGTATTCGGGTAGGGTGACTTACTTGCCTTGTTTGATTTTCGAGGAAATTAATGCGCGAACTAGGAGTAAATCTTTCGGAACGGACCTTTTCAGGCACGGTCCGAAATTTGATAGGAATATTTGAGCTGAAATCCATCAGTTACTGCGGCATAACCGTGCAATATTCTCAAACCGCCAACAGGCAGCCAGTAGCATGAAGTCGTGTAATTATTTACCGTACTGACAACACAGGTAGAAACTAAGAGCCCAGACACGCGTGTTTTGCCGATCCTGTGCCGCTACCTGATGCAGTTACGAGGACTTCGGCTCATCAGTGTGTCCCCCAGCACCCCATGTATTTTGTGGTATAGGACTTACTACTCATACCAAAGCATATGCTTAAATTGCACTGTTCATATTTGTTAAAACCTATGTCTGAAGTTACTGGCGGCCGAATGCTGTCCTTATGGTTTTTAAGCTCATCAAACTAGCAGAGATGTTCAAGAAACAGCAGGCTGTGACCTGCTACGAGGCGACTTATGTTGCGGCCTCTACGCTCCGCTTCGTGACCCGACCGGACATCTACGCCGAGTCCTATCTGCCTGTATTCTAACTAAGAGGTCGAGGCTTAATTCTCGCCCTGCGCCTTCCGTCCATCACACCGGTTGGCAGCTTAGAAGGTGGACTACGGTTTTTGGCGCACAAAATCATGTTAGTTTGATTGGTGTCTAAGGGGGGGGGGTAGATCTTTCCGGGGACAAGCCAAAGCTCAATGGACTATTCTGATTCAAGGTGACACGAGACCTTCTGGCATCCTGTGATCCATCTATACATCCCGACCCATTTCCTGAAAACAAACGCTGCAATGACAGATTCGTGTTCACAAGTCATCCTCAGC